TAATTAAAATATTTGTGGTTATAATCATAGTTTAATGTCAAGTGGCAAAATAATTAATGTCGTATATAGAATATAGAATAATACATAAGGTGTATAGATTTTGAAAAGGGGTACATAATTATAAGATTAGTAGACGAATATAAAATGTTACATAACATGGTGTGAAATTTGATAAGATAGAATTCAATATTGTAAAAATAAAAATTAATAATTTTGGGTTTAAAATGTCAAGTGGGTCAAGTGGTAAAGATTCAGAGTGAGAGTAGTAATAATAATAATGATAATCGTAGTAATAAGGGAAGAGTACATAGAATAACTAAATAAACAAAATAAATAAATGTCTATCCCTCTACGGCCAAGGCAGAAGTAGGTATTAGATGGTTGGAGGCAATCGGCCATTGGAAGCCTTTGACCTAGGTTTCGGGCTAGTTGGCACTCATCAGCAAGGCGTATCTGCAACCTTGAAGGAACTGATGTCCCTTCTGAGATTCGAACCCGCGTCACCCAGTGCTGCAGTCAGAGACGTTACCACTGAGCTATTCAGGCTCGCGACTGACCTCCTGTAAGACTGTGTTGGATATTTTTGATTGCACACTAGTTAGTAACTAGTGTAATGTGTCTAGTCCTAGACTGAATTCTATCAGTCTGCACCGAAGATGCTGATGAGTGCCAACTAGCACGAAACCTAGGTCCAAGGCTTCCTGCCGATTGCCTCCAACCATCTTATACCAACAATTCACAGTGCACCGTAGTGGCGAGCCACCTAGCATGGTGGCCGCATTGCAAACATGACTGATAGAATTCAGTCTACACCGAAGATAGGACTAGACACATTACACTAGTTACTGACTAGTGTTCAATCAAAAAAAGGCAGAAGTAGGCATTGTATATACTTCTTTTGTACACAAAGGTTTGGCTTAATGTCACGAATTGTTAAGGCCTCAGCTGTCTTTAGAAGTCTGTAACGAAGAAAACGCGGGAAGTTAGCGTGGATTCTGTGTATGATCTTAAAATCATGGTCAGAGTGACAGAAGTCGATCAGGTGTTCCAAAATAGAGCTGCAAAAAGCTGTTGTTCCTGCTTTATTCAAATGCATATAGGAGAATAAATGTATGAAGTCAACTTTTCGTAAGCGAAAAATACTTGGCTTACAGTCTATTCTTAGAATTTGCCTTTCCTGTCACCTACTAAACATAGAAGCGTTGTTCAATCCTTTTGTAATGAATGCTTAACAAACAAATATATTTTAAAAAAATTTTTGTTAGTATAACTGGTGTAAGATTTCTTTTTTTTCAAAAGTAAACATTGTTGGTGCTAAGTGGTTGGGAACGATTGATACGAAACTAACGACCTGGGTTTCATACTTGTTGGCAATTGTGTTTTGATTCGGATATGTTTGCATCGTCGGTGGCACAGTGGTTAGGACTCTCGCCGACCATGCACATGGTCCGGGGTTCGATCCCCTGCCGACGCACACCCGATATCTATTGTCGGCCTGCAAAATTTGGGCTACCGATATCCATGCTGAAAATTCCACACTTGTACTGAAAATACGGTGTGGAATCATGTTGTAATCAAAATAAAAAATAAATAAATAAATAGCTGTTTGTTAACTTGTATGACTCTGTCATTCATATGAACTTTATGTCTAGAATTATTCTTGTTATTATTATTATTATTATAAGAATCACCAGTGGTTGAACATGACCGGAAATTCTTCAAAATGATATAGATATTAGACATTTGTAAAAAATTATATTTGTAATATCTCAGCGATATTGAAATGAGTAATTCCGTAGCTGTCGAGTCACCTGACAACTCCAGTAGGTCGAATAAAGCAGCTCAATATTCAGAAAGAAGACAATGCAATAAGTTCGACAGGGTGCTCAAACTAAACTTTAATCGTAAACACCATAATTTTGAAAATACGTCTAATCATAAAATTCTAGATACTAACAGTTTGAACAAACATGAAGGTTTGATGTTAGCTGATGCATAGGAAATCGTGATTAATAAATAAAGATGGATATGTATCACTGATTAATAATACTTGGTCAAATTCCTGACTGTCTATATCTTCCTATGGAGACGTTAAGAAATGTTTTACAACTGTTTACACACACACGCATGCACACTCTGTTTAAAGTGTTTAACAAAGGTAGACTGATATTTGTAAGTCCGAGGTCAAATTTTGACCACAGCTCATAAAATTTTGTTTATTATACTTGTTGAATGACTCACGATTGGACAAAGTTCTTAAGAACAAGTGATGTTCCTTTTATATATAAACCTGTGTTATGTTAATTTCGATTAATCTCCCTGAAGAAGTTTGGACCAGATTGCCGAACGAAACATTGGAATAACTCATTTCAATATCGCTGAGATTTTATAAATATAATTTTTTACAAATGTCTACTTCTCACTCGGCGCCCAAATATTTTAGAACTATTCGTTCAAATCTTGACGACAGTTCATTTGAATGGAAATAGATATTATATATAGTCATTCCTTATTGTTTTCAAAATCATGAATTTATATTAGTAGAATTCATTGCCTCATCCTTCTCTCTTCCCTCAATTTTGTTTACTTATTTCTGCGTGTGTGTTCTCTGTGAACGTAATATACTTTAGTGCGTCAATGACTCACCGGTAGAATGCTCACCAACCACGCATATGGCTCTAGGTTCGATCTCCAAAGGACACACTGCTTTACCTCGCTAAGCTAGTAATAAGACTGGTAAAGAGGGAAGGTTGGGCATAAGGGGCTGGCGACCCCATCTCATAAAAATAAGAACCACTGCTATCGAAAATACAAGCCTCTTGCTTGAAGCTTTATGTTTCAGTGGGAATGTAAAGGAATAAGGCAAAGCAAAATAATAAAAAAATAATATACTTCGGGTAAAATTGCTCTTAGGGAAAAACGGTAAGAAGTCATGTATATCAATCGAGTTTTCAGCCTAGAACTGGGCATAAAAGCCCAGCGGTTCATATTGTTGGACTCCATATAGCACATAAAAGTAGCGAAAAATAGAAATTCAAAGGAACTATAATAGATGGAAAATGTAAAGTATAAGCACGTACAAAATAATGAGAGAATTCTTTGTACCTAGAAGTTCATAGAGAGTGAACACATCTGAGCCAATATAACCAATAGTCTAAAGCCATCGGTTCTTTTAGCGTCTCAATAACAACCCAGCCACAGCTGAAACCAACAGTCAAACACTTTATAAAATTCATATCAAGTTTTGATTAGACCACTATTGTATTCGTAATTTCATTATTCCTATTTTTCAAGTTAGCATTTCCACTCCAAATAAGCCTTTTTCTCTATCTAACAGTCCCAGATAGTTCATTGTTTTAAATGTTCACTTTGTTTTTAGTTATCGTAGAGCTACACCAATATAAATTTAAATCCTGCATTAGGAGAGGTGTCACTGCGCCGGTGGCACAGCGGTTAGGACGCTCGCCGACCATGCACATGGTCCGGGGTCCGACCCCCGGCCGACGCACTCCTTTACCCCGCCAAACCAGTAATATAGCTGGTAAAGAGAAAAGGTTGGGCATGAGGCTAGCAAACCACATACTGTAAAAATAAACACTGTTACAGAAACTTCAAGCCTCTAGCTTGAAGCCCTATGTTCCACTGGGAACGTGAAGGAATAAAAAAAATTAGGAGAGAAGGTTGGTAGTTCAGGCGGCTACTTCTAGCTTTGTTGTTTGCATTCTTTGGGATGGATGACTTAATTGTGATGGAGCTTTCATTGTCTTTCTAGGAAACCTCTTCAGTGCTAACTACGATATAAAGTTTAAACTTAGGTTAGGGCTTTGAAGACGACTGTAATGTGCCATTGACCCAAATAACCGACATCGCTGTTGACAGACACTTAAATTCATGCAAGCCAGTCGGTTAGGGTCATCCTGTCGAACACCAAACATCTTTATTCTCAACTTCCTCCTTCCTTGTATGACTACAGGCAAAGCTGAAAGAAATTTCATAAAATAAATATAATGAAAGCTTCGTAGTTAAACTAATCCATCTCAAAGAACACAACAGCAGCAAAGATGCACTGGTAGTACACGCACTGGTCAAAGAGGAGGTCTTGGTTCGATTATTGGCTGATACAGTCCTAAATCTCATCTAGCAGGGTTTACTAAGGTTGGGAAGCAGGGATGATTGGACGTGCGACTGGCGAATTCATCCCTCGAAAGAAAACAAAACGCCTGCTACTGAAAACTCAAAAAGCTTCAAGGCACAATGCTCCAAATGTATGAATAAGTGAAGATTTTGTTTGACGGGTGATAATAATACTACTACCTGGCTGCCGAAACCCGCTACTTAGAGATAAGTTTGATGACCTATATAACCCATCGGTTGAAAGTTCAATGCCTTTTCTAGTAAATAGCATAGCCACTGGAGAGAAGAAATTAATTCAATAGATCTAGGTGAAAATATTCAGGACTTTGAAGGTCATAAATAATGAATCAGTCAACTGTATATGGATTGTGGTGTCATCTAGATTTTCTCACCATTGATTTTGACCAATTAGGTTTCCTCAGACAGAAATTCTATACCTCCCTACAGAGGTCAGATATTTTTTGGTTTACTGTTTTATGAGGATATGTGACTCATTGTCTTGAGCACTTGGTTTTCAGCCGAGGAGTCATGGATTCGAGTTTCTCTGTATGTACTTTAGCCTGGGCATATTTGGGTAGTATCATCAGGCCTCACACGACAAGTGTGCCTCTTAGTCTGGCACCATGGTTAGTTAAGCTTGAATAGCAATACACTTAATTCACGTTATCGCACTGTTAGTAATCTTGTTTTTTTCAAGAGGTTGGCTGTTCAATATGCCTAGTGAGTGTCTCTTCTGGTTTACTAATTTGTAGGTTTAATTATTTTGAAAAGACGAATTGTAGATATAAAAGCTCTACGTTACTAATAGGTTTTTGTTTATATCAATGAAACTGTAATTTTTGTTTTCTATCTTTCTTCTTTTTCAGGGGGAATTTATCTGTCACTCGAACTGTTTGGTGGTGTCGAGCTATCATTATTAACCTATGCGTCTTCTTTGTGGTATTCTTTCTGACTACACCTACATACGTATTGAATTTGGTTAATACACTGCATTTAACTGAACGTCTACAGATTAACGTAAGTCTTGTTACATAACCTGTCGTATGGATTGCTCTCTCTCTCTCTCTCGAAAGATGTACATGTATACATGATTAGGTGTCATGCAATCAAGGGCTTCTACTTGTCTGTAATTTTCCCTTTTCTTTAGACAGAAATCTACAAGAGAAGTAATAGTAGCATAGAAGAACATGAGGACTATATGGACCTGTGAGATTACGAAGAATGAGTGCATCTGTGCCCTTCATTGGGAACGATTTCGAGCTGTATTACCAACAGTCTGCAGACACTAGCGAATTACAATTCCACTGTACAGGCAATGATGAAAACGTTTTCGCTCAGGTCGATAATTTTGGGCTTGTTGTCTTCTCTCTTAAGTGGATAGTTCAACTATGAGCATATCCATTGTCTTTCTCGACAACATACGACTTCAGTATAAATTCGGCACGGAAGATGTTGTCTAGAAGGACAATAAAAGCTTCTCAGCAGCTCAAAGAACAAAACCGCATCAGTAGATGTCTTACTGCTTATTCTCTCTGGCGAATGTAGCTTTGTATTATGTATTAAGCAATAAGTCGATACTGTTGTGATGGAAGAAGATGCTCTTGTGAATTAGGGTTCGTACTTAGCATTACTTCAACACTTGACAATATATTATGATGGAATACTCGAGTACTTTTCATATAGAGTGAGAAGGCACAGAATGCTGACTGAGAAGATTAAAGATGTATTACTTCTTTGCGAAATGCAGTATTACTAGAAATTACCGCTACATATATGTGATCATTTTACACAATCAATAATTATAAAAACTATACCACTTTGAGTGGTGACGACTAGTAGCGTCCGTCAAGAATGCCCATTATCCCCATTTCTATTCAACTTCATCATAGATGTACTAATGGACTTAACCCTAACTCACTTCAGCGACTCAGGGATTGACTTGCTACCAGGGAATAATCTCGTCGACTTAGAATATGCAGACGATATAGTCCTTCTAGGCGAGGACGCTGACAAAATGCAGAGTCTTCTGAACACATTGAGCAGCAACCTTCGTATGTTTGGCATGCGATTCGCCCTTGTTAAATGTAAGATGGTGTTACAGGATTGGACTACACCGACCCCTAGATTAGAAATAGGAAGTGCAGTGGTAGAACACGTTGACCGCTTCACTTACTTGGGAAGTACCATCAGCCCCAACGGGTTGATCTCAGACGAAATTTCAGCACGAATACAGAGGTCTAGGTTCGCATATGCCAGTTTACGCCGTCTCTGGTGTAGTAGACGTGATATCCGGCTATCGACCAAAGGGCGTGTGTACTGCTCAGCAGTCCACTCGGTCTTCCTTTATGGCTGTGAGACCCGGCCATTGAGAGCGAAAGACATGGAAAGATTAGCTGTCTTCGATTATAGGAGCCTGCGTTCTATCTCCCGCGTGAAGTGGTATGATACGGTGAGCAATATTGAGGTTAGGCTTCGACCAAGTGCTAGGTAAGGAGGGAGGGGAAATCAATCGATGAGGCTGTGAAATTACATAGACTGAGATGGTTAGGACTTGTGTTACATATGTCTAGTCATCGCCTCCCTCGACGGGCAGTGTTAGATTATATAAGGTCAGGTTGGAAAAGAGCTAGCGGCGGTCAAACCAAAACATGGCATCATCAGTCAATGAAATCCACAACAGTTAGTTTAAGCCAGTTACGTAGGAAGGTATAGACTTCCTGACTGGTTGGGGTCCTCGGGACGGTTAAAACCAATTGTTGGAAACAATTGGTGACATGGCTCAAAATCGTTCTCAATGGTTGGCGCAAATGCATCCACTCCTTGTGACTTATGATATCCAATGAAACTGTTTTGTTCTTCGTTATTACTATACCTTTGTCTCACACCTCTGTTTACTGTCTCTATTATATATTTCTTCTACTTTCTTCTCCTGCTTTATGTGCTAAATGGAGGGAGTGTGGCGACTTGAACTGCTGCACATCGGTGCAGCAGCCAGAAATAATGCTGGTGAAGAGGAAAGGTTGGGCATGAAGCTAGCAACCCCATCCTGTAAAATAAACACTCCTACAAAAACTTCAAGCCACTAGTTTGAAGCCCTGTGTTCCACTGGGAACGTGAAGGAAAATAAAACAAAGGAGATGAATTGTCATAAGCCTAGTTGCTAATATTGACTTCTTATACATAAGAGAGCAGCTTAAAAATCCTCACATTAATTGTGATGCAAAAGAAGAGGCGTATTCATCAGCGAAGAGTTACTCCTCTCTCTTTTCAGTGATTTCACATTCTCATGTTATACAATTGCATGTATTATGTATGGTACATTTTCACAACTACTAAACGAATAGTTCCGAAAATGGGTCATTTAAACTTGAAGTTTTAGATAACAGTTATGCCACTACTGGAGAAGGTGTGGAAAGAAGGCAAAGTACCTGAAGATTGGAAGAAAGGATATTTATTCAAACTACCAAAGAAAGGAGACTTAAGTCAATGCAAGAACTGGCGTGGAATTATGCCCCTGTCCATCCCAAGCAAAATACTAAGCCGCATCATCCTGGAGAGAATCAAACAAGTCCTGGATGAAAAACTTCGACCGGAACAAGCTGGATTCAGGAGAAACAAGTCATGCATTGATCGGACCGCCACATTACGGATCATCATTGAGCAAAGCTTGGAATGGCAGTCACCTCTCTATGTCAACTTCATCGACTTTGAAAAGGCCTTTGACAGTGTCGATCGGGAGGTGATTTGGAAACTACTACGCTACTATTGGGCGCCACCGACAATTATACATCTCATCCAACAGCTGTACGACAATGCTGCATGCCAAGTAATCTACAACGGGAAACTTACGGAATCCTTCGAAGTGAGGACAGGAGTAAGACAAGCTGGCTGGCTGGCTGGCTGCCTACTATCACCAATGATTTTCCTGATTGCAGTAGATTGGATAATGCGACAAACAGCGGGGAATGAGGAAACAAGCATAAAATGGACTCACACAAAAAACTTGGAGGATCTGGACTTCGCCGATGATGTATGTCTGATTGCCCACAAACTGGAAGATATGCAAGTGAATAGCAACAAGTGGGTAGAAGAAGCATCCAGGAAAGTTAGGACTTCAGGTGAACATAGAGGAAACAGAAGTGATGAAGATTCCTGGCCAACACCACCAACAGCAGACAACGCTCAGCATAAATTGGAGGAACCTGAAAGAAACAACCTCCTTCACAAACCGACCTGAGAAGCATCGTTTCAACTACAAGGGGATCTGACGAGGATATCAAAGCAAGGATCGGAAAAGCAAGACAAGCTTTCATTACTCTCAAGTCTGTGTGGAGGTCAACAACACTCAGCATCAAAAATAAGATCCGGATTTTCAACTCCAATGTGAAGTCAGTCAGTGCTACTCACTATACGGATCAGAGACTTGCACTGCGCGTCATAAAGAGCATCTCAAACAAACTACACACCTTCATTAGTATTTGTCTTCGCTCAATACTCAAGATCAGATGGCCGGCCAGTAAAGATCAGCAATAGTGAGGGATCTCTGGGAGCGAACCAACTTAGCAGGAACCAATTGTGAAACAAATAGGCAGGAAGAAATGGAGATGGATTGGCTGGTCATCCCCTGAGGAAACCATCAGGTGACATCACTAGACAAGCCATTGCTCGAGTGGAAGCCGACTGAATGGGAAGCGGCGAGTTGGTCGTCCAAGGGAGATATTGAGGATGTCATGTGAAGAGGAGATGAAAACGTGTAGGCAGACTTGGAAACAGGTGGAGACTGTAGCAGAGAACCGAATGCAATGGAGACGCACGGCTGAAGACCTATGTTCCTCTAGGAATTAAAGGATACAATAATAATAATAATAATAATAATGCGGTAGAAACTAAAAATTGAATCAGTAGATTGATTGACGTATTCATAATGACAGTAGTAAGGAGAGCTCAACTAAAATTGAGGAAGAGTCAAGTTTAGCGTCAATAAGGAGTAGACATGTGGTGGATAGAGAGAGTTAATAAATGTTTAGAATAAGAATTAGGACTGACAACATACCAAGTGTTGTGAGACACATTAGATCAATTTTCAAGTATTGTTTATGTAGGGATTTTGTTTGTTTGGTTGGAGGATTTCATCATGAGCTGACATCAGTTAGAGAAACATTGGAAAACCAGCTGGGAGTACTGGACAGTTGTTTCATCTCACTGGTTTGGGACTCTTCACAGTACACACCCACCCCCAGCGTTCGAACCCAGGGCCTTCTGGTTTCAAAGTGAGCTACCTCGTAGACCATTAACCCACTGGGACCCGATCCAATGACCAGCCCATGAATTCTAACTTCTGGCTTCCAATGGTTCTTTAACTGATGTCAGCTCATGATGAAATCCCCTGACCAATCAGATAAAATCCTTACGAAACCAATACTTTAAAATTGATCTGATGCTCACTAGCGACTGGCTCTATTCAGGTAGTTACCTGGGAATCTAGAGGGAAGCTGTGACCAGTAGGGTACATTGGGTTGATGGTTAGGCAGTAACTCATCGAAGAAGACATTGTGAAGTGGTCTCGCTCGCTATGTCATGAATTAGCAGAAGTTGGAATTCATGGCCTGACCATTGGATCGGGTCCCAGTGACTTCATTTTCTACGAGTTCACCTTGTAACCATAAGGTCCTAGGTTTGAACCCTGTCAACGGGTGAGTACGAATGAGGAGTCCCAAACTAGTGGGACGAAACAGCTGCTCAGCTTTCTGTGATAGTTTTCCAATGGTTCTCTAATCGACATCATCTCATAATGGAATCATCCAACATATTAGATCCATTCTAGATTCACTTGATTAAAGGTGATGGAGTCACGCAATCATTATTCATTATTGTTCCCTTGGGTTCCTAGTGGAACATAGGGCTTCAACTGCCCATTTCCACTTGCTTCTCTCTTCCGCTGTACTTTTCACCTGCATCCATGTTAGTCCATACTGTTTCAACTCCCCTTCACACGATCTCCTCCATGTCACCCTGCG